TCTTCCACTGATGGGCACATAGGTTGTTTCCATCTTTTTGCTTTTGTAAATAGTGCTGAAATGAACATGGATGTGCATATATCTGTTCCTGCCCTGGCCCTCACCTCTCTAGGATATATACCTAGTAATGAGATTGCAGGGTCAAATGGTATCTCCAATTCCAGCTTTCTAAGGAATTGCCATACTCCTTTCCACAGTGGTTGTATCACTTCACAGTCCCACCAGCAGTGTATGAGAGAGTCCCAATCTCGCCATATCCCCGCCAGCATTTGTTACTTTTCTGTCTCGTTGAACCTTGACATCAGTGCTGGGGTGAGATGGTATCTCATTGTTGTTTTGATTTCCATCTCTCTGATGGCCAATGATCTTGAGTATCTCTTCATGTATTTGCTGGCCACCTGGATATCCTCCTTGGTGAAGTGTCTATTCATGTCTTCTGCCCATCTTTCAATTGGATTCTTAATCCCATTGTTGTTGAGGTGTTGGAGTTTTCTATAAATCTTAGAGATAAGTCCCTTGCCAGATATGTAATTATTGACAAGTATAAATTTATTGCTGCCATTTTGGTTATGTGCTTTTTTGTGATGTCAATTTCTTTGTTCCATATAATTTTCTGTGCTAAGCTCGTTTTGTTTATGAATCGTGTTGTCACTTCCTTCATTGCTATTGTTTTAGTATTTGCTAAATATTTGTCCTGGTCCTCTTTTTAATTTTGATGTGAAGGTTTATCATTTTTCTTTGAGGTTATCCTGTGATTTATAGTTTCTTCCCAAGTTTAGAACAGTCTGTTCTATCTTGTAGTTGTCTTGACGTCCCTACCATCTAGAAGTTCTGTAATGACACAGTTTTTTCCCTCTTTTTGGTTTATAGTTTTCCCCGTTTGTCTATTGATGTCTCTGGTTCCCTGTTTATAGTCTCGTAGGCTTATTTACTTTGCAAACTTCCATAGCTGGGTGGGTTTCTGGGTTATGTCACCATGTGTGTTAATGGTCAGTTGTTGTTTGCTGTTGTTGCTTCTCTGTCCAAAGGACTCCCTTTAGCATCTCTTGTAAGGTTAGTCTGATTTTAACAAATTCCCTTAATTTCTGCT